GACAATTTCATCTCACAGAGTATAAACTTCTGGAGACGGGACCTTCAGTCTTCTACACCTTTTTATGGGGTACTGTGCTACGTACTCAGTGGGTGTTTTAAAAACGTGTGCAGGCTCTTGGGCAGTAACAGCGAATGTGGGCACAGCGGGAAGGAGAGCAGGGCAAAGGGCCCATCTAACTTCCCGAAAGGATTTAGAACTGAAATAGTCAAACCATAGCCCTCCCACAGATGTGGCCACCAACAAAATTATGGGGAGGGGTGGGGTGTCTTCTAGTTCCCACTTCTCTCCTAACGTGTACATTGTTTTTCTGAATACTTGAGCAACCTGGAGAAGATATTTACAGAAAAAGCAATGAATTACAGAACCGGAAAACAAGGGCTTTATAAAACTGTGTTCAACAGCCCCTGGCCATCAAAGGAGAGTGCCTTTACTTCTCAAGTTGAAACCTGCAAAGTGTAAATCAGGCCTTTGTGAGACAAACTAAAATAGTGTCCCCCTAGGGTGTGCAAATACCACAGCGAAGTCACCAGAGCAAACCATTCCCTGACGTAGTCAGAGCCTACCTTAGGAAGCTTTTCCTGGGGGGGGATACTATTTGTTTCATGCTAAATATACAGTCAGAGGGCCAAACAGAATAAAATGCAACATCCTTATATATCAATTATTCTGATTTAGACACGCAAAAAGGACCTTTAGATAGAGCTAAAAACAAACACACACACACACACACACACACACACACACACACATTTAATCACTATTTGTTCCTACAGCTTATGAGGAGCTTGGAAACGAATCTGGCCTTGGTGTAAATTTTAGGAGTTCCATAAACTTTGACTGAGTTGGTTTTATAAGCACCCTTAATCTGATGGTTTTTAGAAAGAGAGAAAGCTGCCTTCCCCCAAGAGGAAGACCCAGTTTGCCAAGTTTCCATCCACAGTGATGATCACGTTAATTAAAAGGGCTGTTTAATAAAAAGCAAACCCAAAGCTACAATTTTACTATCAACTACCCCACTGATACTGATAAAACCCATTTTGACTTATTATAAAACGCAAAGCCAAACAACCAGCAACCAAATAATCCAACCAGCAACAGAAGTTAGAAGATCCAGAAGTTGAAGGTGAAATAAGACGTCTTTTTAGGGAAGGGTTGCTTGGTTGAGATTTTTCTCCAAGACAGGCAGAAAATGCAGTTGTGGTTCCCACAGCAATTTTAGATCATTTTATCTAAAGACACACTGCACACTGCACCCTGGATTACTGCACATGCTCCTCGAGACATGGCTGCTTTCAGAATCGATGTTGTTTTTCCTGGCTTTTGTACAACTGATGACAATGGTACAATGATCTAATTTGTACTTGCCATCTGTTAAAATGTGCTTCACCCCCCACACACCCAAAGGTACCAGTTAAAATGATCGTGTAATTTTATATACATGAGTGTGTGCATAAAAAGTTTCCAGAAGGTTACATAAGAAATAGTGCACGGTGGTCTCTAAAGCAACTTAGCAACTGGAGATGGAGAGACTCACCAGTCAATAAACTTACTGTTTTCATTCACCATGTCGTGTTATTTTTACAATAAAAAAAAATGGCTTATGATCTGTGCCAAAACACGTATGTTTCTTGTGACTAACTACTTAAGTGCAATCTGACTTTGCTTATTTTAAAGTTTACTGTGTTTAAAGTTGAACATTAAAAGAAAAGTGGCCTAGAAAAGTGGCGGCCAGGCCCCGTTCTTTCGCTGCTCACTTCGATTTCACATGCTCCGGAAGGGCAGGGCACAATATGCATCACTTGTTTAGGGGTATGTGAAATCTGAACTGGAGGGGAGATTTAATAGATGCACCAACAGTCATGGTACTTGATTTCGTGGGAATAATCAGTTAGCTAGAACCCTTGGCGTAACTGGAGTTAGGGAGTGAATATGCTGAGCATCACAAGGCATTGCCAATTTGCCATAAATTACAGATCATAACATGCATGTACGCACGTACACATATATCCTTGTCATTTAAAAAGAGGCGGGGCGAAAGAGAAGGGAAGGGGGAGAGATTCTGATTGAGACATCAACCCCACCACAACACACCAATCTCCCTCCCCTTCCCCATCACACACATTTCCCTCCAGGACATCGTTTCTGATCTAAGAAAAAGTACAATAAGTTCCAGTCAAGATTTTAGAAATTGTCTATCTGAGCCCTGACTTGGTTGCACAGTGGTTAGAGCGTCAGCCCTAGGACTGAAGGGTCATGGGTTGGAGTCCCAGTCAAGGGCTCCTACCTGGGTTGCAGGTCTGATCCCCGCCCAGTAGGGGGGGTCATGCAGGAGGCATCCAATTGATGTGACTCTCACATCCATGTTTTTCTCTCTCTCCCCCTTCCACTCTATACAAAAAATTTAAAAATCAATGAAAAAGTATCCTCAGATGAGGAGGATTAACAACAACAACAAAAAAGAAATAGTCTATCTGCAAAGTTTAAAGTAAATGTTTTCATAGTTCATTACAATACTCATAAAAATTATTATTATTTTTTTTTTATCATCCTCACCTGAGGAAATTTTTCCATTTTTTGTTCAGATAGAGTGGGAGGGAGAGAGAGGAAGAGAGAGAGAGAGAAACATCGATGTGAAAGGGACACATCGAGTGGTTGCCACCCGCACAACCAACCAGGGCTGGGGACAAACTGCAACCGAGGTACGTGCCCTTAGCGGGAACGGAACCCGGGTCCCTCTGGACCGCAGGCCGATGCTCTAACCGCTGAGCCAAACCGGCCAGGGCTAAAAATTAGTTTTTAAAACTTTCTTTTTTTTACTTTGGAGTTTTAACTGTCTTTACCAAGATTATCATTAAAAACTGAAAAATTTTACAGCCACTTGTTTACAACAAGTCCAAACATATATTTTTAGTGTAAAAAGTCATGTAGGAGTCCTATGTAGGTGAACTCTAAAATCTTTTGACCTTTTAATCAAGACAGAGTAATTTATCAGCCTCACAGCAGTAGCAACCTAACTTGACAGATACTGTTTTACCCACCACATTATTTTTATAACAGAGAAATAATCACTGAGTAATCTACCCACCTCTACAATCACCTCAAGTAACCTTTTGCAACATAGGACCCACAACAAAAAAACTCAGAGGCCAAGACTGACAGTCCTATCTTTACCTAAATAAGAGATTCTTGTTCAGAAATTTTTAGTTGACTCCCAGGTACTTTGAGACATCAAGGCAGTGCCTTCGCTTTGAAATTTTTAATATTTGGAAATAGATAAAATAAGATTTCATGTGCATTCAAAATTCAACACAAACTTTAACAAAATTTAAACAAAAATCATTAGATATAAATGTCAAAAGTAATTTTGGCCAAATTTTAAAACGTAACACTTAGGAGCAAATAGCCAATGAGCAGCCCCACAAATGAGCTGAGGAGACCCAAAGTGTCTTGCGGTCTTTCAACGGGTACCTGGTTCCATGATACTGCTAGTTCTACACATTTCCAACACCTCTGGAAAACTGAGCTCAGTACAGTTTACTTCTTTCATCTCTGAAAAACAGGGGCCTGAGAATTTCACTTTATGAAAGTATTTTCAGAAAGTTTCATCTTCCTAATGTCTTGGCTACAAATAAAATGGTGTTTACCACGACAAAGATGCTAAATACTGATTTTCTAACACTCCATACACAGTAATTTCACTCCACTTTTCAAAGCACTTTTTGTAAATCACAATCCTTCTCTGGCATCCTGACATTTCTATAAAGTTCAGTGTACCAGAGAGCAGTGGAAAGAAAAATACCCAACCATGACCAAAAGAACCATTAGCTTACAAAATGTTCTTTTCAAAAGCCCCCAAATAATGTCATTTGCTTTATAGACTAATCCTGCTTTGACAGAAGAATGGCTTGGTACTCTGCTCGCTCGCGCTCTCTCTCTCTCTCTCTCTCTCCTCTCTCTCCCCCCCTCTCTCTGGAAGTTCATTACTACCAGCTACTGGTGAAATCAAGACTTTCAATGCATTGGGGATTAAGCTTCTACAAATCAAATGCTGGTTTCTCACACAGTTGTTACTCTGTTAAACAACATAACAAATCATTTCCTTTGTTGATACATTTCAATGAGGAAGAAAAACTTACCTAGATCAAACATGATGTTTGATACATTAGGATAAACATGTCCATCCTCATCCACCCCCCAAGCAATGAAGTTTTCTATACATCCCTTTCCTGATTTTTAAAAGGTCACTTATATATGTTTCTACACTTGCTTTGAATCAAAGCAAAAAGGAAGAACAGTACGGAGAGCCTTTTCACCCAGGGACAAATCTGGGCCCAGCAATTAGAGTGTGTGCAGACACCTCCTTTTGTTTTCTCTGTACAGGGACTAGCAGTGAAATCGCTTTGTGGCCTTAATTAAGGCTGAAGAACTGTAAAGAACAATCATTTTAAAAGTGAATTTCAATTTTAATGACATGTAGCATTATGGGTCGTTAAAGGCATTTGCTCCCTTCAAATTCCCTAACCTTAGACCCCTTCCTCTCTAGTTTATTCAACAGAGCAAAGAGCAATCACCCTCATCCATAGGGAGACATTTCAACAAGGTAAAAGTGCTTAAGGTGGACCTTCCGGTCTCTGATCCAAGAAAGCGTTGTGATGGCCCCGCTGGGAGAGAGAAAAGCATGGGTGTGGGCTTCTGATTCATGTTTCAAAAAGAGGGACAAAAACAGCCGAAATGGTGAAAAATCAATGGAGCGAGAATCCGGCTGAGTTAGAAAAAAATAGAAAAGCAAACAGATGCTGGCGGGAAGCATCTTGGCCCTCGCGGGATGTTAAGTGCTAGATACAGCTTGGAAGTTGGAGAAGGGAATTTCTGTGGGCCACGCTGGGGAGCAGAGCCAGCACGCGGCTGCATGGGGCCCACAGGCTGGGTCAGGGGTGACGATGGCCCGGGCGCCGGGCTGCTGGAGAGAAGTAGGGGACAGGGCTGTCACCGCTTACCCAGGTGCAGCGTGAGGTTGATGGAGTTGGGGTACTGCACCCCGGCCAGCATGGTCTGGCTTTGCCACCAGGTGGTGTCGGCCTGGTTGTTGTAGTCGGTGAGGAAGGCTGCCCCGTGCTGCAGGTGGGGCTGCCCGGCGTCGCACAGGTGACAGGACTTGGTGACTCCGGTCACCCCGGTCTGCACACAGTACTCCTCGGGCGGAGTCCCGCACGTGTTGGTGGCCACCACGGTCACGTTGAAGGCGGCGTTGACGAACTCGGGCATGCAGCGCTGCGGTCGCCCGCCTTCGTCGGTGCACTCGTCCATGGCTGCCCGGGCGCAGCCGGCCGCCGCCAGCACGGCCAACACCGGCCAGAGCCCCCCCCGCGGCCGCAGCGCCCGCGCGGCCCGCTCGCTGCCCCTCATCCCGCCGCGCGCTGGGCCACGGCACAGGCAAGGGCGCGATCCTCTCGCCCGGCGGCGTCCCCCGGAGGCCGCTCGGCGGGCTGAGCTCCGGGGCCCAAGGGCCGGGCTCGCGGGGCGGGCAGGAGCGGCGGCTCGAGCTGGGGACCGGCTGGTGGGCGCCGCTGCGGAGGACCCGTGCGGCTCGCTGACCACTGCCCCGCGCGCCGCCTCCGCGCACCCTCACCCTCGCGGGACACTGTCCGCACTCGGCGCCGACCCCCGACTTCCGAGCGCGTGCCCGCGCGCGCGCCCCCGGGAGGAAGGAGCAGGGGGTGGGGTCGGCAGGGTGGGGTGGGGTCTGGCCGCGGAGCAAGCCCAACCCCGGCCTCCTCTCAGCAGCGCCCGAGGCCCCCGTCGCTGCTCCCCCGCCCTCCGCGCGCCGTGGACTGCGCGACCGCCCCGGCGACTCGTGGCGGGGGCGGGGGCGGGGGCGGGGGCATCTCGCGCTCGGGCCCGCGGCGCGCGGGCGGCGGGGAGGGGCCTGGAGGGGCGCGAGGGGTGGGTGGCAGCGGGGGAGGGAGGGGCGGCGGGGCGGTGCATGCCGGGAGGGCCGGGGAGGCTGCGGAGCGCCGGCGCCCGCTGCGGGCTAGGAGCCGGGGTCTCTCGACCCCGCGCCCCCGGATGACTCCGCATTGGGGGAGGGGGTGGCGGAGGTGGCATTAAAGGCGCGACGCCGCGTCGGTGAGGTCGCTCGGGGTCGGCCTTCCGGCCCCGCGCCAACCCGGCCGCAGAAGCGCGGATCTCCGCCCGCCAGGTGTCCGTCCTCGCGTCCAGCGGGGCCGCGCCCGGAGGCCGGCACCGGAGCGACCCGCTGGCGGGGGCGGCCCGCGGGCTGCTGGCCCCTGGGAACGCCCCCTGCTGCGCGGGGTCCGCTGCAGCCCTTTCCCGGGAGAGGGCCCGGAGCGTCCAGCGGGCTGACCGGGTGCCCGGGGAATAAAGGGCCTGATCGCAGCATCAACATGAATTTGCCGCAGCGATTTCCTGCCTCAGAATTCAAGAGCAACCTGCCGGCTACCGGGGGCAGGGGAGGAAGTGGAAAGGCTGGGAATGGAATGACTTTTTCCCCTGGGTACGCACCCACTGCGAAATTCTTCCACTGTGTTGTTTATGTTCCCCAGCTTGCCTTTAAAAGACTCGAAATTATCTGGATCTGACATCCTCCTTTTCGGGCCTGCTGAGTCACGGAATATTTTCCGTGCCAGAATGACTCAGTTCACAGAACCTGAGCCAGAAGATCATGAGTTTTGTCCCAGATCAGAACCTGGGCACTTACCCGGTGCCGATACCAGGCGCGGAGACGCAAGGCAGGGTGCTGCAAAGGCGGAGGCCGAGGGCGGCGGTTTTAAACCTTGGAGCCCAGGCTTAGTGGATGCACCTAGTGCATTCCCATGTGACAGATTTCAAAACCGACAAACAAAAACCGTTTCAAGATCTCAATAGTAAAGGGAGCATAATAATCACACCAGGCAGGGAAGGCGGGGAGCCATACCTGGTTTGAGACCCCTTAGTCCCGTTTAGAGAGGGATAGTGAGGATCTAAAGTCATGACATATGCAATGTTAGGTTGCAGTGGTTGGGGTCAGTGTTACCTCTAGGACTTTAAGGAGAAGGATCTGACTGGGGAGGGGAAGGGTCCAGGGGACTTGTCAAAATGCTGAGCTTGCTTAGCAAGTACATGGATCACTGACACTGTTCATTTATTTAATGAGATGGGTGGAGATTGTGTGTGGTTCAAGTCTCTAACTCTTCACCCCTTGGCACCTCCTCTTTTGGGAGAAGAAAGTTGTAGGGCAGTCGGTAGCAATGTTTTCATGCTTGAGTGGAAGCAAAATAAATACCTTCTAGTATACCCAGAGGAACGATATTGGGTCCTTGATTGTACTACAAAACAAACGAGGGCGTGTAAGACAAAGGTAGGGATGCCCACTGTAAATGAAGCTACAGACATTTTTAATAAATATGTTAATGCATTTGCCTTGTAAATTATCCGTATTTTATTAGATATTGGCAAATTGTGCCACCAAAAAGGTAAGGGGACCCCAAAGGCTGCCAAAGCAATGTGTTTGCTTGTCACTGCTCCCTTTTGGGTTCTCATGTCCACGGGTACCTTCAAGCTATTACTTATGCTTATCTACATGCTTATTTCATGACCAGAACCTCATCTGGCATTTGAAAAGCACATAACAAGATAATTTCTAAATTCGGTTGCACATGGGGATGCGTTACAATGACAAGGATTTTGAAGAGAGGTAAAATGTAAACAGCCAATGTGCTCAATAGTTAACAAACAAAAACTTTGCTCCATTGTTTCAGGATTCGAACAAACCAAAGGTTAAAACAAAAACTTTTAAGACAATTTGGGAAATTTGAACACTAGTTATATATTTGGTGTTAACAAAATAAGTATTTTAGGTGCCTGGAGATGCCACTGTTGACTAAATAGATTTGGTGTGTTCTTTTTTTTAAGTGAAAGGTGTGGGATTTTCTTTTACATCAAGTTACTCTAGTTTTTTTGTTGTTGTTTTGTTTAAAAAAAAAAATCCAGAGCTCTTTAATACCTGTTCTTAACTGCTTGGAAACTCTATCATCTAGTAAACAGACGTGGTTGAAGAAAAATGTGAAGGTGTGGGAGAAATGGATTCAGGTGCCTCAAAAGATGATCTTCATGCCCAATCGCCAGCGCCTCTGTGCAGCCAGAAAGGTGAAATGAAGGAAGGTAGCTATTTATTGTACAGACCAAAGAGCTCCACATCTTATTTTTAAAAATCCCACTTAGAACTCCAGAGAAAAGAGATTTCCCTCCTCAGGAAATACGTGAACAATTTCAAGGAAGGATGCTGAATCCCTGAGCATCACACCCACTCCTAACCAGGTGCACACAGTTCATATGGTGTTAAGCAGCCCACCAGAAAACCAAGGAATTTGGGGAAAGCAGTTCTCCAAGGAAAGAGGCTCTGTTGCCAGAAAGAGGGCAGGTTATAAAGCAGAATAAAAACAACAGATGTCTACTACATCAAGATTGAGATGTGCGATATAATTAGAAAAATAATGTAAAAGGTTGTATTGGCCTTTTAAGATTGCAACTTTGCCCATTTTTTTAAAATATAATTTTGGAATTACCAATGTGTTTATTTTTCCATTCCTTAGTCTTTCTGACCTCATTTCCCTATATTCTTCTCAAGCCTGAGCACCACTATAGTATATCCCTTATCTTTTATATTTAGAATGCAATCTAGAGATAGCAATATACTACTAATAATATAATGATGTGAGCCTATATTTCATTTTGCTTTACACTTTTCAAATGTAATAACTCTGAAGTAAGGGATATGAACTATGTAGTGTTGAGAAAACTAAGACTCAAAGAGATGAAGTAATTTCTGTAACCTTGCAAGCAGCAAGGTCAAGATGAGAGCCTGCCCTTTTTGGCTCCCTGTCCAATGCTGTTTCCTTTTCTGTTGTGTAAAGGTCATAATAGAAAAGAGGATAAAGGAAGAGCTATCTTAAACTTCCCAGGCTTTTAGGTTATCAAATGGGAATTTTAAATTAGGTGAAAATTGATGTGATACTGGAAGAGAATTACAATATCCGTCTTCAAAGTTACACTAACTACACATGATTCTTTGTGTTAGGTTTATAGCTCCTGCCTGGGTCCTTGGTACAAGTCCAAGCATAACAAGATAAGTTATCTTTTTCGGCCATGTTCAGGTAAAGACAGGATTCTTCTTGTATGAAATAAAGTTCTTCCTTCCCACCCAGCCCCAAGCCGCCTCGATATTGTGATTCTAGTTTTAAAAGGGAAAGAAAAGAAGGACACCTATCATAATTCATAAAATTTAAACTAGAAATTTATTGCAAAGACAATAAAAAATAAAATAGTTCCCAAAATGAGGAGTAAAGCTCAGTCCCTCCCTGACACACAATGTTCCGGACATCAAAGGAACAGAGAACCTCACATCTCAAAAATTGTATTATTCTACTAACCAGAAGTGGACTGCATCCCACTGTAGACTTAGAGGCAGAAATAATCTTTTACATACAGATGACATGGCTTTATTTATGGGAACTCAGAATGTCCTTAGATTTTGACCTTGAATGGTTAAATATTGTTAGAAAGGATACATGTAATAGCATGGTGACTATAGTTAATAACACTGTGTTGCACATTTGAAAGTTACTAAGAGTAGATTTTAGAGGTTCTCATCACAAGAAAAAAATATTTTAACTATGTATGGTGACAGATGTTAACTAGACTTGTGGCAACAATTTCACAATATATACAAATATCAAATCATGCTGCATACCTAAAACTAATGTTATAAGTCAATTATACCTCAATTAAAAAAAGAAAGGGCAATTCAAAACAAAATAAAAATTATTATTATTGGTTGCTTTTTTCCTAACATTTAATTGCCTAATAGGTTCATTATCTCATTCAATTATTTAGATATATATTATAACTGTTCATATATATATATATATATATATATATAGTTTTTGTTGGGTTTTGTTTTGTTTTGAGGATGTGCCTGGAAATTACATTATTCAAAATTAGAAGTTCATAGCTCTTGAGCAAGACTCTTTCAGAGGCTGTTATTACATGAGTTTGAAAATTATTTTCTGGCTGAAATTGTTATTGGCACAGAACTCGAGGACCTCCATCTTCAGTCCATATGTGTATTTGAATAAATGCTAAATTACTTTATCCTCCCACCCAAATTCTGTTTATTGTAACAACCAAATTAAAGCAAGACTTTAGTTCATCCATAATTCTACACACTAAAATGACTTCCCTCTCCTAGCCCATATTATTCTTTTGTTGTAATAGACATCCTTTATTAAAGTACATTTTACCCCCAGGGAAAATGCACAAATTCCAAAGGTATCGTTTGAGAGTTTGTATCAAAGTACACACACTTGTGTAATCACTACCCAGGTCCAGAAATAGAATATTACCCTAACCCAAAAGCCCCATCCTGTCCCCTAAAAATCAGTACCCCTTCCTTCTCCTTAAATGTAACGTCTATCCTTATTTCTAACAACCTTATTATTGCCAATGGTTTGTAAATCCTTTTTTTAAATGTTTGTATTGATTTTTTAGAAAGAGGAAGGGCGAGAGCGATAGAAGAAACATTGACGTAAGAGAGAAACATCAATTGGCTGCCTCCTGCACACCCCCAACTGGGGATCGAACCTACAACCTAGGC